GGAGCTGGAGGGGAGTGTGGAGCGGACAAGGGAGTCACGGAGAGAGTGGTCCCTCCGGAAAGCAGATAAGGGTGGGGAGGGAAAGATGTCTTTGGTGGTGGGGTCGGATTGCAGATGGCGGAAGTGTCGGAGGATGATGCGTTGGATCCGGAGGTTGGTAGGGTGCTACGTGAGGACGAGGGGGATTCTTTTTTGGCTCTTATTGCGTGGACGGGGTGTGAGGGATGAGTTGCGGGAGATGTGGGAGACACGGTTGAGGGCATTCTCGACCACTGAGGGGGGGAAGTTACGGTCTATTATCTCTGTTCATCGAAAGAAAATGTTTTTCATTGGACCCGAAACGTTAATTCTGATTTTTTTTCTTCACAGATGCTGCCAGACCTGCTGAGCTTTTCCAGCAACTTCTGTTTTTGTTCTGATTTACAGCATCTGCAGGTTATTTTGGTTTTTATAAAGATCTTGAACTTTAGCTATCACACTTTTAAAGGCCTCCCACTTGCCAGAGGTCCCTTTGCCTGGAAACAAACTATTCCAATCAACCCCTGGAAGCTCCTGTCTCATTCCATCAAAATTCACCATGCCCCAATTTAGAATTTGAACCAGTGGACCAGCATGGCCAATCCACCCTAACCTGCATATCTTTGGACTATGGGAGGAAACCAGACAGAGGGAGAACATACAAACTCCACACAGACAGTTGCCCAAGGCTAGGATTGAACCTGGGTTCCGAGAGCTGTGATGCAGTAGTGCTAACCACTGAACCACCATGCCATTGTGTCGCCCTATTATTTGGGGAGATGGGAGAGACAGCATTGCTTTCCTTAGACAGTAGCGTGGAAGTAACGTTACTGCATTAGTAACCCACAGCAGAAAGTGAAACTTGAATTAAATATTAAGTAAAATCTGGAGTTAAATTTGTAGCCTAAAGTAATCATTGTCAATTTTTACAAAAACTCATCTGGTTCACTAATGTCCGTTAGGTTGGGAAATCCACCATCTTTACCTGGTCTGGCCTCCATGTAACTCCTGACCCACAGCGATGTGCTTGACTCTTTACCACCCTCTGAAATGGTCCGGCGGGGGCAATAAATACTGGCTCATCTAATGAAGCCCATGAACATATCAGAATAAGATCAGAGAAGGTTAGGGGGAGATTAGATCGAGGTATTTCCAATTTTGCATGTTTTTGATAAAACAGGTGGGGGGAGTTTGGTTCCAGTAGCAGAAACTTTGGCACCAGAGGGACAGAGGGTTCAGGTCATTGGCCATAGATATGGAGTTGACATGAAGAAGGCCAGAGATAGTAGGAACTGCCGATGCTGGAGAATCTGAGATAACAAAGTGTAGAGCTGGATGAACCCAGCAGGCCAAGCAGCATCAGAGGAGCAGGAAAGCTGACGTTTCGGGTTTAGACGCTTCTTCAGAAATGGGGGAGGGGAAGGGGATTCTGAAATAAATAGGGAGAGAGGGGGAAGCGGATAGAAGATGGATAGAGGAGAAGATAGGTGGAGAGGAAACAGACAGGTCAAAGAGGCGGGGATGGAGCCAGTAAAGGTGAGTGTAGGTGGGGAGTTAGGGAGGGGATAGGTCAGTCCAGGCAGGACGGACAGGTCAAGGGGGCGGGATGAGGTTAGTGGGTAGGAGATGGGGGTGGAGCTTGAGGTGGGAGGAGGGGATAGGTGGGAGGAAGAACAGGTTAGAGAGGCGGGGACGAGCTGGGCTGGTTTTGGGATACGGTAGGGGGAGGGGAGATTTTGAAGCTTGTGAAGTCCACATTATACCATTGGGCTGCAGTGTTCCCAAGCGGAATATGAGATGCTGTTCCTGCAACCTTCGGGTGGCATCGTTGTGGCACTGCAGGAGGCCCAGGATGGACATGTCGTCCAAGGAGTGGGAGGGGGAGTTGAAATGGTTCGCGACTGGGAGGTGCAGTTGTTTAGTGCGAACCGAGCGTAGGTGTTGCACAAAGCGGTCTCCAAGCCTCCGCTTGGTTTCCCCAATGTAGAGGAGGCCACAACGGGAACAGCGGATGCAGTATACCACATTAGCAGATGTGCAGGTGAACATCTGTTTGATGTGGAGTGTGGAGTTAATGTTTTGGGTCTGGTGACCCTTCCTCGGAACCGGGGTCACCGGTCCCAAAACGTTAACTCTGATTTTTTCTTCACAGATGCTGCCAGATCAGCTCAGCTTTTCCAGCAACTTCTGCTTTTGTTCCTCTTATGGTTTCCTGATCTTTCCTTCTGTGGAAGTGGGTTCTCATCTGGTCATCAGCCGCATTGTTTAAGAACTGGTCTCTCCTGGTTGTGTGTTACTGACTCTATCTGTTCTCCTCAGGTTCCTACGCGGGGGCTGTTGTAGCAATGCCACTGGCAGGATTGTTGGTCCAGTACAAAGGCTGGTCTTCAATCTTCTACGTCTATGGTAAGCTTCAGCCAAACCAAAATGTTACCATTTTATTCAAGGTGCCAGCTGTTGAGGGGGGTTGCCCTCAGTGGGCAGTGAGGTGGGGTATAAATGGGCAGCAAAGAACCTATCCCAGGTTTCAGAGGGGTACTTGAATAAGCCTTGCACTTTGGCACTGGCTTCACCACAATAGAGGTGGTGTGATAATTTGGTGATAAAGCAGCAAGACCCATTCTGTGATCCGTGCTGAGATTGGAGAAATAATCCACTGCAGCAGCTTAGCAAAGCTCCTCTAACGACATCTCCCAAAACTGAAGGCCCCACTGTCCAGTCCGAACATGGTCCTGGAGTAACCTAAGTTCAGATAGGGTAGGAGTGGCAGGTTTCCTCGTCAGAAGGGTATTTGTGGGATTGTTGAAATTCTACGACAGTCTGTCACCATGCAGTAACTCAGAGGTGAATTTGAATCCTCCTGTACATTAGATATATAGCCAGGCGAATGCTCGGGAAAGGTCCAGTCTGATAAAAACAGGCCAGGTGAACTGATACAGTCTGAGTCCTTCATTACGATTCATCACACAGCCTCTGCGCTAATGGTCCATGACCTCCACAATTGTACAATATCTTGATGAAGTCCCAATTTAAAAAGCACACCGGATGGGTGCCCTCACATGATGCGGGACACTGAGGCTTTGGAAAAGGTGCAGAAGAGAGAGACACTGGGCTATTTCCCAGTTTAAAACACCGTAGACACCCTAAGAGGCTCCACAGATTGGGTCACAAACTTCAAAGGCATGCAGACTTAAAGATAAATAATTGACCATTGAATCAGTAAGAAGATGAACTAGATTGTATCTGAATGGATCAGTTACTTTGGTGGAGCAAGTTAGGACCAATCTGGGCTCAGGCTTTCAAATTGTGTATGAGCAAAGATGGTTTGGATTTTGGGCACACTACCTTCTCTCAGAGAGTAGTGAACCTTTGTGCAACAGTTATATATTCCTTAAGGGCCGTTTTTATTTCTTTATCCTTTCGTGGGATGTGGGTGATGCTGGCTGGGCCAGTATTTGCTCCATCAGGAAGGGTGTGAGCCTGAGAGGGGGTGTGACTATTCCAGGCAGCGGAGACCTGCAGGTCAAAGCCTCCCTGTACATGGATGGCGTTGCTGTTTTCTGCTCAGATCCACTGTTAGTGCGTGGACTCATGAGCATCTGTGACCAGTTCGAACTGGCCTCAGGAGGCAGGGTAAATTGAGGGGGGGTGCGGGGTGAAGAGATTTACTGCCCATCCTGAACTGCCCTTGAACTGCGTGGCTTACATGGCAATTTAAGAGGGTGGTATTGCTATGGGTCTGAAGTCACGTGTAGGGTAGAAACAACAAGAGGAAATAGGGGGGCTGAATATGATCTAAATGGAGAAAAAAAAACGCTGAAAGCTACAAAGCACAAAAGCATTTGGGAGGCCTCATCCATCTATCACAAAAAGCAAATATCCCAGTTAAGTGAGAACTACAGAAGGTAAATGGAATAAGACCATAAGACATAGGAGCAGAACTTAGGCCATTCGGCCCATCGAATTTGTTCCCCCATTCAATCATGGCTGATAAGTTCCTCAACCCCATTGGCCTTTATTTCAAAGGGAATGGAGTATAAAAGTAGGGAAGTTTTGCTAAAACTATACAAGGCACTAGTCAGACCCCAGCTGTAATACTATGAATAGTTTTGGATCCCTATCTAAGGAAAGTTAGACTGGCATGGAAACTGTCCTGAGAAGGTTCACCAGGCTGACCCCAGGTAAGCAGGGACTGTCTTTATGAGGAGACATTGAGTAGCTTGGGTCTGTACTCATTGGAGTTTAGAAGAATGAGAGGCGATCTTATAGTAGCATGTAATATCCTTAAGGGACTTCACAGGGTAGATGTGGAAAGGTTGTTTCTCCTTGTGAGAGAGTCTAGGACCTGAGGGCACCATCTCCGAATAAGGGGTCGCCCATTTCAAACAGAGAGGAGGAGGAATTTCTTCTCTCAGAGTGCAGTGAATCTGTAGAATTCTTTACAGCAGAGGGCTGTAGAGGATGGGCCATTAATTATATTCAAGGCTAAGATAGGTTTTAATCAGTAAGGGAAATCAAGGGTTATAGGGAGAATGCAGGAAAGTGGTGTTGAAGACTATCAACCAAGATCTTACTGGATAGCAGAGCAGACTTGATGGGCTGAATGGCCTACTTCTGCTCATATGTCTTTTGGTCTTTCCTTCCCTAGAGAACACTAGTGAACCAGATGGAGTTTTACAACGTTTCATAGCCACCATTATTGAGACTGACTTTACAACTCCAGATCTAATTAGTCAACTTTAAATAAAAACCGAAAGAACTGCAGTTGCTGTAAATCAGGAACAAAACCAGAAGTTGCTGGAAAAGCTCAGCAGGTCTGGCAACATCTGTGAAGGAAAAAATCAGAGTTAATATTTTGGGTCCGGTGAAATTTCCTCAGAACTGATGGTAGCTGGGAAAACGTTGGTTTATATGCAGAAAATAGGGAGGAGGGAAGGGATAAGGAGTAAATGATAGGGAGGGATACAGCTCAAAGAGAGAGAAGACAGTTGGATAGACAAAGGAGATAATAACGATTTGATTGGGAGGATGAATAGTTGATAATGGAGACTGTTAGTGACTAACAATAGGTAATGTGTAATGGCAGGCTATATGACAACAAGGCCTGGTGTGTGGTGTAGGGGGCTAGGACATGGAAAGCTGGAAGAACAACACCTCATTTTCCACTTGGGGACCCTGCAGTCCTTTGGACTCAATATCGGGTTCAATAATTTTTGGGCCTAAACTCTCCCATGTCCCAGCCCCCTACCCCACACACCAGGCCTTGTTATCACATAGTCTAACATTACACACTACCTACTATTAGTCACTAACAGTGTCCATCAACAGCTATTCACCCTCCGAGCCAGATCATTATCAACTCCTTTATCTGTGCAACAGTTCTACTCTCTCTTTGGGCTCTACCCCACCTTCAGAAGAAGGGTCTAGGCCCGAAATGTCAGCCTTCCTGCTCCTCTGATGCTGCCCGGCCTGCTGTGTTCATCCAGCTCTACACCTTGTTATCTCAGATTCTCCAGCATCTGCAGTTCATACTATCTCTGAAACATTTTCCCAGCTACCATCAGTTCTGAGGAAGGGTCAGCGGACCCGAAACATTAATTCTGACTTTTCTTCACAGATGCTGCCAGAACCTGCTGAGCTGAATTTAAATGTCTTAGCTGCTGTGGTGTGACATGAACCCATGCCCTCAGAGTATTGGGCCTGGCCTATGGATTACTGGCCCATTCCCCCTGCTAACTGATACAGTAACATTGTGTTTGTAATGTTGCAGGAATGTTTGGAATGATATGGTACATATTCTGGCTGCTGTTTGCCTATGAGAGCCCTGCAAAGCACCCGACAATAACAAGGCTGGAGAGAACATACATCGAGACCAGTATTGGGGAAAGGTCCAGTCTAATCAATGCCACACAGGTGAGTTGATACACCTGACACTGAGTCAGTCATGACAGTTCTGGGATGCACAACATCTTTCATTTATATAACACCTATAACATTATAAATTGTAAAGGAGTATAAATCTGAAAGAGTTTCACAGAACGACACCTTGCGTTATCAGAATATCTGACCAAATTATTGGTCGAGGAGAGACAGCGAGATGTTTTTCATTATTCTTTCCTGAGGTATGGGCATAGCTGGCATTTATCGACCATTCCTATTTTCCCTTGAACCGAGTGGCTTACTCAACCCTTTCAAAGAGAGGTTAAAAGTTAACCACATTGCTGTGGGTCTTTAGTCATTCTTGGGGCATATCAGGTATGGATGGCAGATTTCCTTCCTTAAAGGAAGATTAGAGAACCCAATGGGTTTTTTAAAAAATGATTAATTTTAGTTTATGGTCATCATTACATTCCAGATTTATGATCTAAATTCAAATTTCACTAAAGTGCAGTGATGGGATTTGAACCCATGACTTTTGACCTCTTAATTATTAGTCCAATGATATTCCAAATAAGCCACCATCTCCCCTGAGGGGACAGGAGCCAGTGGTGGAGCAGTGGAGATCAGACATACATAAGGGGCCAGAACTGGAGGAGTGCTGAACCTTTACAGTGTTGCAGCCAGGAGGAAATTAAAACCCTTTATTTAGCCCCAAATGACAGCTTTGCTCAGTCCTTACACACTGACCTCTGCACCCGGAGGTCGTGATGATGATTTTAACGTTGGACAATGGCGTCAAATGCAAGGGGAAATTGGGCGGCCAATTCAATATCTACCTTTGTAATGAAGACTGAAAGTGCTGGAGAGACTCAACAGGTCTGGTAGCATCTTTGGAGAGAGAAACCAAATTAAGATTTTGATAACGTGACTCCTCTTCAGGAATGAAAGGGGCTGTAAATTGTGGCAAAGTAGAGGGAGGTGAAGCAAGCGTAATAAATGCTGAAGGTACCCAGAGCAAAAGACAAAGGGAGTGTGAATGGTAGTGGAGGAAAGATACAGATGCAAAATAGGTGTTAATGGTCGATGAGAATAATCAAAAATAGTTGACTTTGGTGGGAGCAAACCCATGCAAACAGGATATAGGGGTGAAATGGGGGAAGGGATGTAATCAAAATGGAGGAGAGGATTCAGGCTTTTTTAAAATTCATTCACAGGCTGAAGGTGTCTCTGGCCAGGCTACATTTATTGCCCATTCCTAATTGCCCAGAGGGCAGTTAAGAGCCAACCACTTTGCTGTGGGACTGGAGTCACATGTAGGCCAGACCAGGTAAAGATGGCAGTTTCCTTCCCTAAAGGGCATTAGTGAACCAGATGGGTTTTTAGCAAAAATCAATAATGAATTCATGGTCATCATTAGATTCTTAATTCAAAATATTTATTGAATTCAAATTCTACCACAGTAGGATTAGAACTCAAGTCCCCGGGACATTACCTGGGTCTCTAGATTAATAGTCCAGCAATAATACCACAAGGCCATTGTCTTCCCCACATGTTCTGAGTTATTGAACTCAATGTTGAGTGTTAGAGACTATATCATTGGGACCCTTGCATGTTTAAGCAATGAAGTAAATTAAAATTAATTCCACAAGATTTTCAATGTAGTAGCTTTGGTATTCTTGTTATTCAGGAGCAAAGGATGATGGACCCCCCTGGGAATTTCGGTCAAGTTATATTACGGAACTATACTATACAAAATGGCTAACATTGGTCCCACATTGGGTCTCATGGAAATAACTTGGTCATCAATAATTCCAGTAAGAAATGCAGAAGAAGCTCATGCAGAGGATGGTTACAATGTGGAATTTGTGAACACAGGGAGTGGTTGAGGCAGGAGAGGATACTTTTAAGAGAGAACTGGGTAGCCAGTGAGGAAGAAAAGAATGGAATGGTATGCTAGTAATTTGGGAGGAAGATTTTGTTGAGCATGAATACTAGCATAGAATAGTTGGGCTGAATGGCCTGCTTCTGCACATTCATTGAACAGAACTGTAGAGGCCATTAACAACTTGAGTTGGGAACAATTGGAATTCCCAATGGATGCTACCAGCTGGAGAGTTTGAACCCAAAGCATTTAGTTTTCAGAGGCAGGGCTGCTACCAACTGAGCTGTACGACCTCTCCCACTGTGCCCTGAACACTGTTATGTATGGCGCTTTGTGCCCTGTGAATAATGCTAACACCTTCACACATGCATCTTTTGTAGCTGGTGTTACCCTCCAAAAATTACTGAATAAGCCTGAGTGTGCTAATAGCTTTGCTAATAACCAATTTAACAGTCAAGCTCATAACATTGTTCATATACACTTGCTGGAAGTGACATGCGTCCAAACACAGGGTCCTATTCTCTGGAAATAAAAGAATATGTTGAAGCCTTCAGCCTTTTTTGAATTACTTGGGACCTTGGAGAACCTATTGCTTTCTCAATGGCAATGCCTCAGCCAATCAGAGCCAACTTGCCAACTGATCAGCATTCTTTGCTCCTGCAGTAAAAATTGGTGTGAATATTTGAAATTTGGCATTCTTGCACTTATCCTAATGAATGAGAGGCGAAAACCTTCAGCAACATGTCTCTCCTTTCAGCAAGATTTGAGTTATTAATTAGAGAAATGATCTGGTCAACATTTATCTCTTCAGCAATACCATAATGTGGTCCGTGGGAGTTTGCTGTACATTAATTAGCTGCCAAATGCTCTGCATTACAACAGCGGCTGCACTATATTACTGTAAAGCACTTTGGGATGTCCTGAGGTTGTGAGAAGCACTATATAAATGCAAAAAGCTTTCTTCTGAGAATGCCTCAATTGTTCATTACAATGTTTATATCCTACACCACCAAACACTATCCAGATTGAGATCCTTCTACATGGTGACTTATCTCTACTGGAGACGTGAGGGCTGCTTTGAAAAGTCATTTGTATAATGAACCAAACTAATCACATGCCTACTTGAGGACATTTGTAGAAATTAAGGAAAGATCTAAGCTCTGATGAAGATGACTGTAAAGAAATTAATGATTGTCAAAGTTTCATCTAAGGAGGAGTCAGGTGGGAATAGGAAGTATCTCCATTCATGAAAAATAATTCATGTTGGGATCCGACTAACCTTCGTGCTTCAATCTTTGATCCACACTCCAGCTGGGAACTCACATCAGGAGAATTCCTTTGTAAAGTCAGTGCATTGTGTTTTCAGTGAACAGACATGAGTTTTCTCTGTTTCACAGTGTTACTTCAGTTAAATCCTTCCCTACCTGGAAACTACTCCTCTAAGCCTGAATCCTTGGTGCCTGAGAACTCAGGTTGGTTTGTTGCGCTGACAGACGTGTGGAGACTGACTGTACCCTCTGTCTGATTCTCTCCCAGAAATTCAGGACTCCCTGGTTAAAGTTCTTCACCTCCATGCCTGTTTACGCCATCATTGTGGCCAATTTTTGCAGGAGCTGGACCTTCTACCTGCTGCTCATCAGCCAGCCTGCCTACTTTGAAGAGGTTTTTGGTTTCCCGATCAGCAAGGTAAGTGAGAGAGAGTTAGAAGAAAGATTTCAAACCTCCTGTTCCACTTACACTTCAGTCTAGAGGCTGGTATTGCCAACAAGGGGTTGCCTGATTCACATTACTGGGTGGATTAAGTGTGTTTTGTACCCAAGAGAGAGCTCTAGCTCCATGCTCGATACTGAACACTGTTGAAGTGTTGCAATCTGACATGTCATTTAGTTCCAGGGAAATAAATAGGCTGTAAACTGACTCTGCCCAGGTTCTAACAAGATTGGGAAAGATTTATAGTTCACGATTAGGGGCTTGGAGGGTTAGTTAGGGATTCTACATCCCAAGGTATAAATAGAAAGAACCATGGTTCCCAATCAGCTTTCATGATTTTAGTCTCTTTGAATTTAAGTAATAAATCTGGGATAAAACCCAGTGTAATGGTGACCATTATTGATGGTTGCAAAAACCCAAATGGTTCACTAATGTCCTTTAGGGAAGGAAATCTGCCATCCTTACCTGGTCTGGCCTACGTGTGATTCCGTAGCAAACTGGTTAACGCTTAAGCTCGGCCACAAAATGGAACGAAGCTAGATGGACAAAATCATCATTGACCAAGACTCTGGAAACAACAATGGCATACGCAGTCCTACTGACCCAGAATAGAACTGTGGGTGCCATGTGGACTGCAGGAGGGCAGCTCACCACCACTTTCTCAAGGGGCGATTGGGGACGGGCAACAAATGCTGGCCCAGCCAGAGATGCCCAAATCCCACAAATGAATCCAAAGCGTTCTACAACCGTGCAATGCACTCCCTGTCTCTCTGACTTTCCCTCTCGCTTCCCTTTCCCTCTCTATTTGTCTCTCTCCTTTGCTTTTTGTTTTTTTTTTCCTTTCATCTCTCTCTCCCCTTCTCTCTGTCTCTTTCATTCATTCTTTTCTCTATCCTCACTAATACTCTGTGTCCTCTTCAGGTATTGTGGTGTCAGACTCAAGTAAGTATGACAAGGTATCTCCTCGGACACTCCCTCCGTCTCTCTCTGTCTCTTTCTCTCTCCCTCAGTGATGGGAACTGACCAGAAGACCCATTGTACTGTCTCAGGGTTTGGTTGAGGTCAGAGCAGGCTCTTGGCAGTGTGAGGGGGTCCTCTCACTCCCTGTGTCCCACCACCCTCATGTTTCTGACTCTGGACGTACAAAACTCAGGAGATTTTACAAACACACAGAGGAACATACAAATTCAGACCAGGTGTAGGGTAGGGGCGCAGATCAAAGGAAACTGTCCACAAAAAAGGCAATGGGGAAGTAAGGAGAAATATTTTCACCTGGACCTGGAATGTGTTGTCTGAGAGAGTGGTTGAGGCAGATTTGAATGAGGTCTTCATAAGGGAATTGGATCGTTATCCGAAAACGAAGCATCTGTGGCGTTACAGGGTACATAGTAAATTGCTCCTTCAGAGACCTGGTGCAGACACGATGGGCTGAATGGCCTCCTGCTGCTCTGTGACCATTCTGTGGCTCATGGAGCAAGGTGTACTCTGCGAGAGCCCATAATGATACATTCAGGAGAGAGCAGTGGTCAGCTTTGAGAAGAGAAATGGGGTAAAATTCAGGCACAGTGCATCAGCTCTGAGTATTCTGGCCAGGCTAGGTAAGTAGAACATAGAGAACATAGAACAGTACAGCACAGTACAGGCCCTTCGGCCCACGATGTTGTGCTGAACTTTTACCCTAAACCTAAGGTCTATCTAACCTCCACACCTACCTTATACTATTATCCATATGCCTATGTAATAGCCGCTTAATTGCCCCTAATGAGGCCGAGTCCACTACCCTCTCCGGCAATGCATTCCACGCCCCGACCACTCTTTGAGTAAAGAACCTACCTCTGATGACTCCCCTACATCTACCTCCACTCACTTTAAAACTATGCTCCCTTGTAATAGCTACCTCCACCCTTGGAAAAAGTCTCTGGCTGTCCACTCTATCTATACCTCTGATTATTTTGTATACCTCTATCAAGTCACCTCTCATCCTTCGTCATTCTAAAGAGAAAAGCCCTAGCTCTCTCAACCTTTCCTCATAAGATCTTCCCTCCATTCCAGGCAACATCCTGGTAAATCTCCTCTGCACCTTTTCCAATGCTTCCATATCTTTCCTGTAATGAGGCGACCAGAACTGGACACAATACTCCAGATGTGGCCGAACCAGGCTTTTGTATAGCTGGAGCATAACTTCACGGCTCTTGAACTCAATCCCTCTATTAATGAAAGCTAACACACCATAAGCCTTCTTAACAACTCTATCCACCTGGGTGGTAGCTCTCAGGGAACTGTGAACATGAACCCCAAGATCCCTCTGCTCCTCCACATTGCCAAGAATCTTTCCGTTAACCCTGTATTCTGCTTTCAAATTTGTCCTTCCAAAATGAATCACCTCACACTTTTCAGGCTTAAACTCCATCTGCCACTTCTCAGCCCAGCTCTGCATTCTATCAATGTCCCTTTGTAACCTAGAACAGCCCTCCGCACTGTCCACAACGTGACCCACCTTCGTATCGTCCGCGAACTTGCTAATCCACCCTTCCACTCCTACATCCAAATCATTTACAAAAATCACCAATAGAAGAGGACCCAGAACAGATCCTTGTGGTACACCACTCGTAACTGAGCACCATGTTGAATATTTTCCGTCCACTACCACCCTTTGTCTTCTAAGGGTCAGCCGATCCTGAACCCAATCTGCCACATTTCCCCTTATCCCATGCCTCCTTACTTTCTACATGAGTCTACCATGGGGAGCCTTATCAAACGCCTTACTTAAATAAGTAATGAAAGCATCTCAAACCTGACTGCAGAATGGTCCAAGTGAACTACTTCATGAAAACACTATCCAGTACTAGAGCATTCCTTGTGCTTGTCTGATGGTAATACAGAGTTGATGTTATCAAGGACAGGGTAACAGAATGTCTGGTAGAAATACAATTAATCAGAATGCCTAAGGAATACATGAAGGCTTGGCAAGGATTTTCTTAGCAAATGATTTGTAGACAGTTAAAAATTATTGAGAAACAAAAAGACCCTGCCTCAAGGTCTATTTTAACAGTTAAATGCCTGGCACTAATGAGCAATCGAAGGACATAATGCTTACAGTGTAAAGCAAGGGTTATACCTTCAGAAACACTCTGAAAAATCGGAAAATGGTGGAAATGTTCAGTGGGCCAGGCAGCATCTACGGAGATGGGAGCAGGGAGTTCAGCTCACAGACTTTTCATTGCAACTGGAGAAAGTTAAGGATGCAACAGGTTTTGAACGTACACTGAGTAAGTGGAGGGGGCGGGAACGGAGTTGGGGGGTGGGGGGAAGAAACTGCCAAAGGGTGTCCAGGCAGGAAACGACATGATAAAATGGATGATGGTACAAAGCAAGAGATGGGAAAAGGGAAGTGTATCATCTGGTTGTTGACATTTATATGTCAAGTTGCAGGTTAGGGCTCTTTAAGAGGAAACAGGAACTGCTTTATGTTTTCAATGGGGGAGATTTAATAGGTTCATGTTTATCACATAAATAACTGTTTTGAATGGGAATGTCAGGAATCAAAGGCCAGATATATAATTGTTTTTATTCAATCATGGAATGTGGGCGTCGCTGACTGGGCCAGCATTTAAAGCCCTGTCCCTAGTTGCCCCTTGAGAAGGTAGTGCTGAGCTCCTTCTTGAACCACTGCAGCCTACCTGCTGTGGGTGACCCACAATGCCAATAGAGGGGGAATTCCAGGATTTTGATCCAGCGATTGCAAAGGAACAGCGATATATTTCCAAGTCAGGATGGTGAGTGACTTGGAAGGGAACTTGGATGCGGTGGTGTTCCCATGTATCTGCTGCCCTTGTTCTAGCTGGTAGAGATTGAGAGTTTGAAAGGTGCTTCCCAAGGGGTGTGAGTGTATGGGTACAGTATGTCTGCTAGATGGTGCACACTGCTGCCACTGTGCTCAGTGACAGAGGGAGTGAACATTGGAACAATTGATTGAAGAAGCAGAAGGCAAAAAAAACCCACAAAAAGTGCTAGTGAAACTTATCAGGTCTGGTAACATCTGTAGAGAGAGAAACAGAGTCAACATTTTCAGTCCAATGTGACACTTCTTCAGAACTAAATTGTTACAACCTGGACTTGAAAAGCAATTGAAGCAGATTGAATACTTACTTTCACATGGTGGGTTGGAGATATACCAGAAGAGGAGAGGATTTGAGGGATTCACAAGGGATGGAGCAGGAAAAAGGGACGAGTTGGACACTGATTTTTTAAAAATAGTACAATGGGCCAAGTGGCCTCCTTCTGTGCCATACTACTCAATAATAGGGTGGGTGTAGAGACTCTCTTTGTACTTGTGAGTGAGCCCTGAACAGAGAAGGGTTGGGGGCAGGTCATAACCGGAAATATATGATTAAAGAAACAATTAAAAATTGTGACAATGGGTTTTAGATGTGACAGCATCATCCAAACAGTGTGCCTAACGAGAGTAAGTGTTGCAGTCTCTCTTAGCAAATCCAAATGGTTCTGATACCATTGAATCTCATTAAAGCGATAAATGTACAGGGTTTAACTTTCTTCCCGGCAGGTGGGCGCACTGTCGGCTGTGCCACACATGGTGATGACCATCATTGTCCCCATCGGTGGACAAATTGCCGACTTCCTGAGGAGCAGAAATATTTTCTCCACTACAACTGTCCGAAAAATCATGAACTGCGGAGGTAAGGCACTAACAAAATCCTTGCATATTCGGGCTATCTGCTTTGTTTCACTCAGGAGAAAGGCATCTTGTTGAATGTTTTCAGTGATGACTTTGTAAAAGCAGCTTAAAAAATACGAACAGAATCTTGGGCCCCATCAGAAAAGAAGTACAGGATATCACATTCATGTACTTCAGTAGGATTTCTGAGGAATATGCGGGCTGCAAGACATTGTTCCAGGTTAAGATGGACTGATGCAAACTCACTCCAATACTGTTCTGATCGAAGGTCACCAGCTTGAATCGTTAACTTTGGCTCTGTCTCCAGCAGATCCTGCCAGACCTGCTGAGTATTTCCAAACCTGACTGTTTTAGTTTCACACGGGTGCTGCCTGGTTGGAAGGAAGCCACGAATATAAAGCGATCCCTGGGGAATCGAATGGTTTTCTCGCTAGGGGAGAGGAGATAATTGAGTGATATAATAGAAGTGATTAAGTCGTAAAATTTTACAGCGCACAAATAGGCCCTTCAGCCCATTGTATCAGGGCAAGGTATCAAACACTGATCTACCCTAATCTCACTTTACAGCACCCGGCCTGTAGCCTTGTATTCCGTGGTGCTTCAAATGCTCATTTAAACACTTCTTAAATATCTCGAGGCTTCCTGCCTCTATCACCCAGTTAAGCAGCAAGTTCAGGATACTGACTACCCTCTGGGGTTAAGAATTCTTCCTCAACTCCCTTCTAAACCTCCTGCCCTTTTGGGTAAATCTATGCCCCTGGTCATTGGTTAGGGAAAAATTCTCTTTCTATCTCATAATTTTCTACGCCTAAGGTTAACAAAGGACATTCTGCTTAGTTGAGGGGTCAAGATCGAGGGAGATACAAGATTGAACGCTGGAGATTTGGGAGCAAGAGCAGGAAAAGTTCTTCGCACGTTGAAATGTGAGTCTGTGGGGTTCACTGCCGGGGTTAAGGGAGAAATGATCAGCATCTGAGCCTGGGATGGACTGGGTTTGTCAATTCTCAAGGATGAAAGGGATTGAAAATGGAACAAACTGGTGGGGAAACAGCTGGGATGCTGCAGAAGTTAGGAGGCATTGTGTTGCGGCAGGCTGAGGGGAAAGGGAGCGGATAGTCACATCATTGTGTGACCCATTCCTCACTGAGGTCAGTGAAGAACACTGTCAGGTTCGACTCAACGATGGGAATGGCGAGTGGTGGGGGTGCGGGTGGGAGAGGCAGTGCATTCTGAAGCTGGGATGGAAGTGCAGCCAGTCATTGTAACCTTGGGTCTGTTTACACCCCCACTACCAGGCCCAGGATTAGCAAATGGGAGCGGGAACGGGAGACCTGCCGAGATGGTGAGGATGGTGAGAATGGAGAATTAGGATGACAGTGGAGTTAGAGGAGGGCACACACACACACACACACAC